ACACCAGAGCCTGCTTCTGCCAGCGTTACTGGGCTGCCAAAGGGTGGAACATAATCTACCTGATTATTGATTTGCATTTTGTTCTTTCCATTTCCCTATCCTTTGCTCTTCTTTGTGAGCGTATGGCATCTGTAAAAGGATTTACTTTTCACCAACATGACTCGTATCTGCCCACTATCCCTTTAAAAGGCCTAAGCAATTACAGAAAGCCTTGGTTATACATGGTTGTTTTCTTCAGTGTATACTAGAATAGTGAACTCCCAAGTACTCTACTGCATACACATACCTTGCATGAGGGATGTTTGAGAAAAGAATTTGGGTTCCATAGCTGGAGTAGCTCAGTGTGGAGCCAGAGCAGCACTGAGATCATCTGCAAAACTGAATTCATTCAGCATATGCAGCAGTTCAGGGCCCAGTGCTTCTGGATTACTATAAGCCACTCCTGGATAGAGTCACACGGGGGCAAGACAGGGCACCCAGCTGGCATATGGACTACAGTTGTGGGCCAGGTGAAGGTGGTGCAGGTGTGGACCATGCTCAGTGTGAGGGCTCTGGAGAGGAGCAGGGAGGTTCAAGAGATGTGGGAGCCAGAATGGGCACCCCCTAGCAGAGGGTGGACAAAGTGCTATTTCATAGGTTTCTGGTTTGTGGGACTAGATAAAAGACAATGTTGTATATGAGAAGAATGAATAAACAACAGAGTGGGTGGGTTTAGTAGGAAAATTCCATTTGGGACACTGAATTCTCTATTAGGAATCACGAGAGGTCTGGATTGAGAAATGGGAATCTGGAGATCTCAAATAAGTTACCACATCTCCTGAGATAATTTTGAGATTATACTGTCTACATCCATTCTAACACCCATCTTGCCTTTTTGAACCTTCAATTACCTGAAAGGAATATGAGGACAGTATGAACAAAGAAATAAAGGTTAAAGGAAAAGACATGTGGTTTCAGTCTAAATAATTCAGGAGAGTTCAGGAAGTGAGAGGACATTAGGTCCTCCCTTCCAAGAACAGAGGAAAAGAAACTATATGGGTTTAAACAGCATCAAAGGAGGAAGAGAGTCCATTTTCATCCTTTACCTGCCACATCTTACCCAATATTGGAACCCCTAGAGATAAATGCAAAGTATCTCAGCCTAGGCCAGACCCTGAGATCTCACATGTCGTCCCTCAGTCTCCCTTACCAGGGCCAGGGCGGAGCCATAAGGGTGGCAAACATGCAAGAGGTGATACGCCCAGCAGTGTAGCAAGCACTGATGCCTCCTACGTCCTCTCCAAATATGAACACGTCGGGATTAGGGTGCTGCACTAATGATTCTTACTCCCCCATTCTTGTTCTCAAGCTTGATTGTTCCTGTGAGATGCTGCATGTGTCAACTCAGTGTTGTCTTCCTTTAAATGACCCGACGAACCAGATTTGCCAGGAGGTATTAAGGTTTTCTTCTTTTGATTCATTTTTCTATTTTTCTTCTGCTTCAGCCTCACCCACCCCCTGCCTGCAGAGGCAGCTGTGAGTGGAGTAGCTGCATTCTTGCCGGCTCCATGTGTGGCTTTGGTGGATGGATGTGGGTCATTATCCTAAGGCCAAGAAGTTTCCCTACGATGTGGACATGGAGTCTGAATTTCATCTAAGCACACTCACTTGTAGCAGCAAAGAGCAGACTCAGGAGCAGCAGTTAATAGGATGTTGTCTTCCAGAAAATTAATTCTAAGGAATAAGTTAAAAGTACATTAGGAAGCCCCAAGAGTTGGGTTTGGTTTACCAAAACATGTCAGCAGCCTCATTCATTGTACCCTTCCTTCAGATACCAGGATGGAATAAAGTGGAAGGGGGGCAGGCAGAAATATGTTAACTTCTGAGTGTAGTACACAAAACAGTGAGATTCACAACCACCCATCCCCACATTAAAAGTTCCCTCACATTTCTTAACAATTACTGGCAAAGTTAATTGGTTCTAGAACTCAACATTATTACTCTCTGGAGGAATCTTAGCATGGAGTTAGTCAGTATTCTTGGCAATATATTATACACACGAGGATTTGAGACAAAATGAGAAAATGTTAGCTTTGCTATGCAATTTTTTCCATTGGAATCAATTCACCCAGTCACAAATGGAGAACCCAGGAACCTGTAGTGTTGTCTGCAAGACTGGGGAGGCAGAGGCAGAGTATGTGCCTGGTGTGTATATTTGGGGTGTGTAAGCATGTGTGATGAGTATGGTTTCTGTCTGTGGTTTGTATGAGTATGCGAAGTGTGTGTGTGTGTGTGTGTGTGTGTGTGTGTGTGTGTGCTGACAGAAGTTTCCTTTACTATGGAATCGCAAAGATAGTGAGCATAATTGTCCTTGGAGCAAAAGACTGATGAAAGTAAAGAGGGAGATATGTAGGAAAGAAATCAGACAAAGGAAATTATTACTAAAATTATTGAAAAGTAGGGACCATAGCAAATATTTTCTTTTCTTTTGAGCCGTATCATTGGGACTTCAGCAAATTGAAGAAGAATCAGAGTGTGGCCGAAATAGCAACGCAACGGATTTTATCTCTCCAGGATGCAACCTTGTTAGGATTCCCCAGGGAGATGGGAAGAAAAGTAGTAAAAATTTTAAAAAGAGCAAGGGGACTTTCAAGTTAGGAGAATAATGTTTGGTAAACAACTCTGTCCTCCCCTCTCAAAGTGGATTCAACCAAGAACAGCGCATAGAGACAGAAGCAGTATGAGATGTGGGCTGCTTAGACATTTTTAGCAATAAGTAGGTATTTAAATAATAATTGTTAAATTGTTTACCAAATTGGTAATTCATATATCTTTTAGATTTGATTCTGTTAGTGACCGAGCCACATTAAAAGTGTTGATACATTAATATTGATCATTTATGCCCATGCTTGCATTCTTTAGTGCACTTTAAGTATACAATTTCATTTTCCCACGTAGTAGCCTAAATGAGATAATACTTCTCTTAATTCAGGAGGCCACTGACAAATCCCATTCAATGTATAGTATTTTTAATAAAAATATTTTCTTTTAAGAAGCGTGTTCCTGTAACGCTACTTGATGAAAACACAAAAGAATCACAAAAAATAAGGAGAACTTGCCAAGGTAATCTAGAAAGCAGAATTGTAGCATGCCAAAAATTGGGCGCTCCCAGTTTCAAGACAGTTTTGAATCTTGGCTCTACCATTTACTTGCCATAAGAACTGAGGGAAATTACTAAATCTCTCTGTGTGCTTGATTAATCATCTGTAACAAGGCGGTATTTATACCTCTCCTGCTGGGTGAGAAAGCTCAGTAAATAAACTAAGGGAGATCATCTACAAGTTAGTTCATGCTCCATAATACTAGCCATATAGTCCAAAATATTATTTTTGTTGGTAAGAAAAGTGGAGCCCAAAACAAAACAAAACCAAAAATAGTGAAGAGAAGTAGAGGCTGGCTTAACTCCCAGACCTAACCCGACCCTGAAGGAAGGTTTTCACCTAACCATATCACAACCAAGACAAAGTAAACACATCTTTCTCTTTATGTGAGACCTTGACTCAAAGACCAAAATCTCATGATTACCAACAACCTAAAATTCGTTTAGTTTTACATTTCCTAAGAACGGATCCTGTGACTTCCTCTCCTTTCAGAGGGACATAGCTATCCCTCACACAATTTCCGCAAGTTGTGTATTATTAATAACAAAGTAAGAGTCACAGCTGAGGGTATAACTCTTATAATGAGTTGAGGCAGAAAAATCCCCAAACAAATGGTATGGGTGGAGGGACACGGGGAGGCTGGCTCACTCTTAGGCCAGGGTTGTGAAATTCTGTGAAATGTCTTCTGGGAATGGCAGTTGCCCTGAGCAAGGGGTCCTCTTTCCACATTTGTAGTCCCCCGCTGGAGTTCAAATTAAATTAGGTCTCACTTAAATTGGATTTTCTCCCATTACATTAGCATTTCCACAATCTTGCCAAGGTTTGGCAACTTGCTAATTAGTAAGAGGATGACTTTGGACTGAAGAGTTAAATCACGATTTCCTGCTGCTGAATAGGCCTGGGCCTGGCCTCTCAAGGAGTACTTTCTTGGATGTTCCTTCAGTTTTCATTCCAGTTGGCATGCCTCAGTTGGCAAATTTAATCCACCACAAGAAATTGACATTACAATGACTTTTTCACTAATCTGAAGAAATGGAAATTTAGAAATATGCCAAAATGTTTCCATTCATAGGTATTACTTCAGTTAACAGCTGACTTGCCAACTGATGTTTTCCTAATTCACTTATACTGAAGGAATACCCAGGAATGATTTGTCTCTTTGATAAATAGTAGCAAAAGCAAGCTTCAGAAAATTAATGTAAGAAAAGGATAATTCTTTCTCAAGAATTATGTTCTAGGGTAGCAAAGGGCTGAACCTGAAAATATTTATTTTCCTAAGGTTCTTTCATCTTCCCACTATATGGAGCTTCAAGTGTATCCAGAAACTGGAATAATAATAGTTTGAGCTGGAATAAAGTAGCATAATTTTTGGAAGTTGAAACTGGATCATTTCAGCAGTATGTTTGGATTGTTTTCTTCAACTGCATTTTCAGCTTTGCAGTTGCTTTAGGTTTACTTCTAGAAGCATAGACATCCATGGACCTCACATTTCTGAGATTATACATATATATATAGAGAGAGAGGATCTCAAGTTAGTCATGGCAGAATTCTTAGCACAATTCTTATTGAATGGATAAACTTAATACTTCTAAATCTGCTTAATCTTTAGAGATCTGTCACATCACTATAAGATTTAATTGCAATAAAATTTTAATACATTCGATTTTCATTTTAATTGGCTTGAGAAGTCAGAATTATGTTTTTCACTAATAATTACTCAAATCCATAGGAAGGAAAAACAGATTTAAGTGTAAATCCCTATGTCTGAAATACTTCTGTAAATACATAGTCACAGCATAACCATATAGTCATCACAATCCCATCAGGACTTTGTCTTCCATTTTTAGGGGTGGGGGATACTGTGGAGTAGAGGGTTGGGGGGGACCAAGTCTTTCTCACTTCATTTCCCAGGCTGGAGTGCATTGACGATCTCACTGCAACCTCCACCTTCCAGGGTTCAAGTGATCCTCCCACCTCAAGCCTCCCAAGTAGCTGAGATTATAGGCATGTGCCATGATCCTGGCTAGTTTTATAGTAGAGATGGGGTTTCACCATGCTAACCATGCTGGTCTAGAACTCTGGCCTCAAGCAATCTGTCCACCTTAGCCTCCCAAAGTGCTGGGATTATAGGCATGAGCCACCACACCCAGCCCAAGACTTTATCTTTCATAATCAATTCCTGTGAAGCAGGCTCACAATTTCTCATCATCTTAAAGAAATGATCTGTTTAAGGAATAGCTTCAAATGTACCGTTTTATTCAGATTGAACCACTTATTTAACTTAAAGAGGTATATATACTTTTTCAATTCTATGTTTAGGTTCACTGAAGTCAACAATATCTAGTCAAATGGCTAAAGAACTAAGCGGCTGTAGAAAAAGAATGGGAGCAATGTTAAAAATTTACAACTGCAGAAATTTTTACCCCAGGAAACACACACACACACACACACACACACACACACACACACGCACTTTAAATCAACATACAATATCCCTGCACCAAACACTGAGTTGCTTAAATCACAAAATCATCTTTTGGATCCAAGAGCAATATGCTGAAGAGAGTTTCAGAGAGTCATGCATCATCCATCTGCCAAGTCTCATTTCAAGGAAACTAGAAGTTGCATTTGGTTGTATAATAACTGGCTCCTCAGACTTGATCAGGATCTCAGCTGTCAGAAGCCTTTTCCTGTATGCATGCCAAAGGGAAACATGACTAGGCACAAATAACGCGATAGATGATGTGCCCTTGGGGCAGAAACAAGCCACAGCACAAACAAAGAGGGTCCTCAGCCACGGCTCCCCTCTTGCCTGTTGTCCCTCTCTGTTAGTGTGTGCTTCTACTGATTGACTTTCTTTTCTGAGGAGAAATCTGTAAAAAACAGTAGGAAAATGTTTTAGGTTAAAAATTAACATTTCATTTCTCTTCTTCTGGCTTAAGGCTAACATAACATTCCAGGATAGCAAAAAAAAAAAAAAAAAGAGTTATGTTATATTCATGAGCTCCCACAAGTTTACACTGAGAAATCAAGGAGTGGGAAATGGAGGGTTATTATTTTAAGCATTGACATATGCTTATCATTTTGTGAAATCTGTTGTGGCCTCATTCTAATTATGCCTGAAGAGGAATGTTCTATACTAATTCTCATTCTTGCTGGCATTTTGGTGCCTTGAGCATATGAAAGTAAGTCATATATATGACTTAGATTAGGTTCAGTACTTACCCCAGAGAAAGATAACTTGCCATATGTGATCTTTTAAGATATGGTACTGGGTACATTATTGCCAAAGCTATAGAAAATATATAGAAAGATTTGTTGGTGTATAATGAAAACCAATATGAAAAATCTGGAATATTTTAATAGGATCAGGATAGAATGCCACAACTGAATACTATATGAAAGACAAAGTCAAAGAAGTTTACTCATGGCAACAGGAAAAATTAATCATAGAAATGCCAAGAAACAAAGTGTTATCCTTATTCGTGATAACTTAAAAATGTACTGAATGTTTTGTACTTGTTGCCCTGCATTTGGCATACCAAAGACATGCTAAACTTACATTTTGGTAACAAAAAAGCAAATAGGAAAATAATAAGTTACTTTTCCAGGCTGAAAAATTATGCTGCTGAAGACTGTGGTCATTATGTTAAAAAGGTATCTAATATGTTGAGATCATAAATTTGAACCCTGAAGCATAAATTCATTGATCTAAACAATCTGAAGTTAACATTTAATCCATTAATGATACCTCTCCCTAGGTATCTTAAGGATTTTAAAATTAACTCCTTTGCAATTTATACAGTGCTCTTGTGAAACAGGTATAGAATTAAGGATCAATAGCCTCGTACTTTAGATAGAGAGAGGCTGTGGCCCATTGGATAATCCACAGCAGAATGGAAATCTGAACAAAAACAAAGATAGGTCTTTAGTTTCTTGAAGGGAAGGCAGAATTCCCCTATAGGTACAGTGAAGGTGGGAGGAAACTTCTGTCCTAAGACTTGGCTCCACAGCTACAATGACAAGGGAAGAAGAGAAATTCCACAAGGGAATCATGGGTCCCTACAGTCCTAGAGTTGGCTTTGCCTTGTTGGCTGGTGAAGAACTCCACTCACAAACTGTGTACTTGATTATTTATTAATGTTACTTTCTGTGCCTTTGTGTTCACAAGAGTTCAGGTTAAACAGCATGATGCTGAAGTGATCTGAATACAGCCCAGAGACATTGGTGGCAGAGGCCCAGTCTTTATTCTACGTCGAGGATTAGCTGAATCTGAAGCTCAGGTGGTCTTAAGGGCTAAATGGGCTAAGTGGTTGTAATGGGCTAAAGGATGAGCTGGCTCTGCTCTCTACTTGCCCAGTCACCTCTAAGGATGTGCACAGTTAGGCACGGCCAGTAAGAAAACTCACGAAGAAAATGTTCTTTCCAGTTGGGATGCAATATATATATGTATTGTTTCCCTTCTAATAGATTTTTATCTTCCATTTAAGATTGTAATTTTATTTATCTGGTGGAATTGTGGCTATTCTAGACTTATTATGTGAATGTTTTTGGTCTAGGATCTGTCAATCTATCTATCTATCTATCTATCTATCTATCTATCTATCTATCATCTATCTATCTATCAATCATCTGTTTAGTATTTGCTTATAAAATCCAAGTTTGAATGGAAACAAATTTACTACCAGTATTTTCATTTATATACAGACTTTTATATTTTATTTAATATTCCCTTACAAGCTGACCATTATATGTTAATAGTATTTTAATATGGATAACAAAATATTTCTGTTGCAATTAAAAATAATTAGAAACAGGCATAAAATTATCAATTGCTAAATGTCGATTAATCATCTGTATTGACCACTCAGAAAATAGTTAAGAAAGAAATGAATTTTATAAAAGAAAAACATTCTTAATACTTTATCCATCTGTATTGAAAATTATACTAAGCACTGTCTCTAAATTTCTTCTGTTTATTACATCTCTTAAGTATCATTTACTATTTACAGGGGTTTCTTTGTTTTTTCATAGTGACAGGAAAGAATAAAGTTGAATTTTGAAAAAAATTCAACTAATCCAGCCATTTTGCTAACATAAAAATTATCTGTAATGCCAAGATATAAAGGCAGTTATAAAAAGACATAAACTGAGAAATAAAGATACAGTATTGGCTTTTAGGACAGCACCATCAGAATGTGTTTTAATAAAGTACCTGCAAGCTATAATACAATTATATTTTACTTAATATATAGCTGAGAATAGTTCATATTTCTTAGTGATTACAATTTGGACTTTGGAGTCAGACTGCCTGAGCTTGCCTATGTCCTTGTCAATAACTAGTTGTATGGACTTGGAAGAGTTACATTATTTCTCTGTGCCTCAGTTTTCACACTTATGAATCAAGGACATTAGTACTGTTTCATAACAGTGCCATAAAGTTGTGATAAGGTAATAGATATAAAGCACCTAAAATAATTTCTGGCATATGGCTGGTGTTATGAGTTGAATTGTCTCCCCCTCAAAAGATGTATTTTTGCCCTAAATCCTGGAACCTGTGAATGTAGGCTTTTTTTGGAAGTCTGATTACATCTTAAACCTGTAATCAGGTTAAGAAGGGGTCATACTGGATTAAAATGGGCTTTAATCAACTATGACTGATGTACGTGAAAGAAAAGGAAAATTTGGACACAGAAGGAAGATGGGCATGTGAAGACTGAGGCAGAGATGGCAGTGATGCTGCCACTGGTCAAGGAATACCTGGAGCTACCAGAAGCTAAAAGAGGCAAGGAAGTCTCCTCCCCTAGAGGATTTGGAGGGAGCTTGACCTGCCAACACCTTGATTTTTGGATATCTAACCTCCAGAGCTGTGAAAAAAAAGGTTTTTCTGTTTTAAGCCACCCAGTTTGTGGTATTTTGTTATGGCAATCCTAGGAGACACATTCTGTCAGTGTTCATTTAATTGGTTGTTATTAGACATTAGTAAAAGCTAATTATAGTATTTAGGCTTTGATCTTCTATATTGTAAAGAAATAATTTCACAGCACAATTTCACATGCCTACATTTCATGCCTCTCTAGATACATTAAGAATCCAGCTCTGGCTCATAAGACAAAGCCTAACTCTGCACCCTGTGAAAAATTTGGAATGTACAGAAGTGACTAACATGCAAGGCGATCAGAAACCATAGCTTTTTGACATCTTGGAAAGGAAGAAGCAAACAACATGTTTTTCAAGGTTACACTAACTCTGTTATGCCATAATTGTTCTAGAAACATGGAAGTCATTTTGCAACTCATTCTGATAACAGATGAAACAAGATGAAAATGTTCTCTGTAAAACCACATTTTTAAACAAAAATTGTAACACATTAATATCTGTGGACTTCGGTGTATTTTAAACACCATTATTTAATGCTATGCAGAGAGAAAGCGAGTCTCACATGTCTTGAAATCATTCAAAACCCTTCAATTAAAATCTTTAGTTTTGGAAAGAAAGGTTGATTTTCAATGTGTCTTCAAAGCATTCTAAAATAACCACAGAGAGTAACTGAGAGCAAAGCTGGAAATGAGTTGACTGGAAAGCTGTGTGACATGGAACTCATCACCTACCACCCTCAGTCCCTAGTCAGGAAACCCTTCATTGGGACCCCTACATTATGGAGGACTCTGCTCTGGCCCTCGTCCAGCCATACCCTTCCTTACAGTGTGAGCAACCCTTCCTCCAGAACGAGGTCCTGGCACCCAAACGCACACCCCCAAAGTCACTGCCCAAGTGATTCTGGGCCTGCTTCCAAGACTCATGTGGTCCTCTTTCCAGCCTGAAGGCTGGCAAAAGAGTGCTGTTTGTAGAGTGGTGAGGGGTGGATGGACAAGGTTGGGATGTGCCAGCTGGGTGGTCTTCAAGTCTGCACTCAAGAGTCCTTATGGTGGGAAGGTGGGGAGAGAAAGTGGAGGGTCCCAGGCAGGCCAGGGCTTAGGTCTCTCTGTGCCACCATGTCCTGTCACAGACTGGTTTTGAATCTGAGCATTGTAAATTGTATTTTGGTTTTCCATGCATGTTTATCAAGGTAGGAGGATGTACTCCAACAGTTGATTCATAAGATTTACACATATAGAATGTAGCTCTCCACTTATTCTTGATCCAGGCCCCAGAAATGTTAGAGGAGGATTTGGTAGTAACATTTAAATTTAATCACTCATTGTCTGCCATATCTTTTAAAATGTATGAAGTTCTTTCTTTCTTTCTTTCTTTCTTTCTTTCTTTCTTTCTTTCTTTCTTTCTTTCTTTCTTTTTTCTTTTTTTTTTTTTTTTTTTTTTTTTTTTTTTTTTTTTTTTTTGAGATAGAGCCTTGCTCTGTCACCCAGGCTTGAGCACAGTAGAGTGATTTTGGCTTATTACAACCTCAGCCTCCTGGGCTCATGCCATCCTCCTACCTCAGCCTCCCAAGTAACTGAGACTATAGGCAGATGCCACTATGCCTGGCTAATTTTTGTATTTTTTGTAGAGACGGTTTTACCATGTTGCCCAGGCCGGTCTTGAATTCCTGGGCTCAAGAAATCTGCCTGCCTTGGCCTCCCAAAAATTTGGGATTATAGGCATGCGCCACCATGCCTGGCCTTAAACCAATGATTTCTTAATCATCAATACCACAAAATTATTTTATGAGAATTCTGAGCAATTCAGTTTCACCAACAGATTAAAAGGACGTTTTTAATTAAATAAATCCCAAAGCAGCAAAAACCACTAGTTAAATTAAATAATGACATATACATCATTTGTGACAAAAGTGATTTCAGAGTTCTTGCCAACTCTTATGACGTGGCTTGAGCTATGAAATACATCATCTGTGGAAGCTAGTAAAGGAGCCATAGGAAGCCCAAACAGGTAGATTTTTGAATAAGGAATTTTTTGGTGGTGCTCTAACCATGATCAGCCCTCTTCCCTGCTACAGGCCAGCCATAGTTAGCACAGAGCTGTGTTGCTATGGAGAAAAATAGGTTTCAAATGACAGCATACCCCTGGTAAGGTTCCACTAGGGCTGTCCATGCACAGATTAGTTCATAACATATTTATTATACATTTAATCTTATATAGTACTGTGCCTGGTACTTGTGATATTCTAAATGTCAAATAAGTAGCATGTTGTGAGTTCATATGAAGATGAGATTATTGAGGGTTAAATGCTAGTCATATTATTATCTATGTTAGAGCTCCATTCTCATTTTTATATCTATAATTTTAGAAAATTTTAATAAAATGAGAGGGGTACGGTAAGAGGGGCACTGTACTATGTAATTGAAGACACAGGTTTTAGAATCCTATATGTTTAATCATCTAATCCCATGCTAAATTTTATTAACTGTGTGATTTAGGCATGTTACTTAAATTCTTCAAGCCTCAGTTTCCTGGTGTGTAATATAGTGCAAAACAATGTTATAGCACTGTGAAGATTAAAATAAACAACGCTTTGAAAACAGGCTGGGTGTGGTGGCTCACAACTGAAATTTCAGCCCTTTGAGAGCCCAAGGCGGGAGGATCACTTGAAGCCAGGAGTTTGAGCCCAGCCTGAGCAACAGGCTGGGGATGGAGCAAGACTCCATCTGAATAAAAATACAAAAATAAAAATAAAAATTAACTGGGCATGGTGGTTCATGCCTGTAGCCCTAGCTACTCATGGGGCTGAGGTGTGATGATTTCTTGAGCCTAGGAGTTCAAGGCTAAAGTAAGCTTTAACCACATCACTGCACTACTCCAGCCTGAGTGACAGAGTAAGACTATCTCAGAAAACAAAACAAAACTTAGGTTGCTACATCATAGAGATTCTTTTGTTGCAGTTTTACATCTGTAGACACAATTACATGGTATGTTTATACATCACAAAGCTTACTACATTTTTCCTAGGTAGAGAAAAATGAGTAAGACTCATATATTGACTACAAAATTTCATTATTGCACATTCTATTTAGTTTCTAAATGCCATCACGATTTATTTCTATTTTATGTAATCATTAGCTTCTGTAATATTGGTCCAGGAAGAATCCAATATATACAAAGGACTTTATGGTATTATTAAATTCTGTACTAAGTAATTGTATTTCCTAGTGATTAAACTCCAATTGAGAAAGAAACTATCTTTAATAGTCATTTCAAAGCAATATAAAATGGAAAATTATAATTGGGTAGTAATTCTGCTATTATACAATAATAGTTTTTAAAATTGAAGATGTTATGCAACACTCATTCTGGTTAACGGTATGCCTTTCTAATAAAATAACTCCATCATGGTTGGAACTCAAGAACCTCATTAAAACCACTGATTATATTTGTAGAAGACAGCAAAGAAAAAACAGTCCTATAGTGTTTTGATAAATACCTGGACATTTTATTGTGGCATTCTCACATTTCATAATTATTTTCTATGATGCTGCTATAATCTATGGCCTTGGGCCCTCCTAGTGCTGCTGTGTACAACTGTCCAGATTGTGTTGTAGAATGTCAGCAGGCTCCATTCACATAATGAGCCCATTAACTTGTAAAGTTCACAACCTGCAAAACTACATGTGATATCCCTGCCTCCCTGTTTACACTCCATAACAGACTCCTTGTATTAAACACTAGATTTCTATGATCTCAGCTCTGACTTCAAACGAGATCAAATTTCAAGAATGGCCTGAAATTAGACTATAGCTCATCTTCAGAATTTTTAAAAAGATTCAAATCTCTGAACATTAACCAGTTGGAGTCCCAGGTGTGTGTTATATGAGACTTTAAACATGTAGCAGACATGTCTAACTTTTGATTATGTATATGTGATGAGACTAGGAGTGGGATTTTTATTATAGCTCAGTTTATACAGCCCGCTTCTGAGTGGCCTCCCGAGACCATAGAAGCAGACTCTAGAAAGAAAAAACGTTAAACCAATGAAAAATAAGATTTAAAAAAATACTCTTAGTTGTGAGTACTTCATAAGTGACTTTAGTTTTTCCCAGCATACTTTGAGGTGGGCGTGTGGGCAACCCTGGCCTAAACTAAGAGCTCTGCCTTGTAGTCTGACATTTAGTCATAAGGGAACACAGTTCTGAGCCTTTGGTTTCCTCTGTCTGTCTGCCAGTGACATTTAAAACATCTGTCTAGCGAACTCAACCTGGAATAGTGGGTGTGCGTCTGTGCTTTGTAGTACAATTGCAGAGCTTTGTTGTTGTTATAATACAGCTCTGCTTACGGTTTTCGTTTCTAATCCCGGATGGAATTCTGACTCTGAGACTGTAAAAGGAACAGAAGCCAGAATTGAGGTTCATGCATTTCTGCATTTGCACATTTTCTTTGTCTTAAGGAGTTCAATGCACCCCAGGTGCATCAAATTAAAATTATGTATGTAATACAACTTTATAGTAAGTCCTCCCAAGTACGAATGAATGTATATTGAGTAAACATCCCAGAAAGGTCCCATTAAGATGTAAACATGAAAGAATGCTCAATACAGCTGTGGTCTTACCATTTGCCTTGTGTTGTACATCTGGCGGAAGCTGGTCAAGAGCATACCACTGATAGTCTGGCTGTGTGGAACAATAAAACATTATTATAGCAATATAGACTTCAAACCAAACATAGTGGCACGTCAAAAATACAATTAGGCTATGTGGTTTTTATTAAGCAAGCAACACAAAAGTAATTTCTATCCAAGCCTATTGCAAACCTCATTCATCCTGCTCACCCCCCACTCACTGCCATCATCTCTCTCTACCCCCTCTTAAATCCACTCTGTGTTTGGCCAGAATTTCTACTTTGAGGTTGTGACATGTTTTCTTTCTTTCTTTCTTTTTTAAAACAGATGTGTTTTGAATATCTGCAGAAGTATAAACACTTGTAAAACTTACTACAGCCCATCAATAAAACAAAGCAACTTACCATCAACAAATACTCTTTTTGAGACCCTCACACTAGAAGCAATGAGAAGCCCAGGAAAAAAAAAAAAGTTTAATACAAGTTTTCTAATGGTTTAAGGAAGAAATCTAAGCTCTTAAATGGGGATGTGGCATTGATAGAAGTTCAGGATGCTGAAGAAGGGCAAAACTTTCCCTTTTTGCTATTCCGAAGAACCAATTCAGCAGAACCTATGCTCTAAATAGCTCACATAGTTTAGTCTACAGAGATTAGATTTTTCTCTTGGAATTTTCTCCTAGGTTTACACCAGTTAAGAACAACTAGATATTGAATGTCGAACAAATGGCATTGAATAAATAATAAACCCATATGCCTAAATTTTCAAGATCGCTCCAAGGCCAGCACCTCTGTACTCAACCCCCAGGAATACAGCAATCTCAGCTTTACCTGCCAATAAAGCACGTCTGTCTTTCTGCTCTGAATGCTCACCCCTGTCTCCTACTTCTCCACAAGACACAGAGAATATAGATTTTTTTTGTTCTATAATTCAGTTATCTCCTAAAAATAACTTGAGGAAAATTTTTCTAACATGAGCCGACAGGGACCATTTACAAGTCACTAGAAGTAGCCCGGAAAGTTCACTTAATCAACAAGACCCTGAGAAATACTGGTTTTAGTACAGTTTGACCCCAGTGTACCCCCAGTCTACACACCTAGGCTTTTGGCTCCTCTGGCCCATGAAAAAACTAGAAGAGGAAATGAGATCACCTCTGTTTTTTATCTTCGGTTTATTTTTATATGTCTCAAATAACACGTAGGATAAGTGACATGAGCCTCAGTTTTATATTCCAGGAGGGTTGCCAAAAGAAGGTAAATATCCTGTAATGTTACTAACACTATTGCCTGTGACTTAATTCAGCCTTCAATATAGGCAAGAAACATGAAATATTATTTTTATTTTATTTTATTTGAGACGTAGCCTTGCTCTGTTGCCCAGGCTGCAGTGCAGTGGTGTGATCTCGGCTCATTGCAACCTCCGCCTCCCAGGTTCAAGCTATTCTCCTACCTCAGCCTCCTGGGTAGCTGGGATTATAGGCACGCACTATCACTCCTAGCTAATTTTTGTATTTTTAGTAGAGATGGGGTTTCACCATGTTTGTCAGGCTAGTCTCGAACTCCTGACTTTGTGATTCACCTGCCTTGGCCTCCCAAAGTGCTAGTATTACAGGCATGAGCCATTGCACCCAGTGAAATATTATTTTTAAAGTAACTTTGAGGATTTGGTTGTAAATTCTACTGTTATGCTGAGATTTTTTTCACCTGAATTCTGCTGGAAAATGTAGGCCATTCTACATGGCTTAGAGTCCTTTTCCAAATATAGGCCTTTACTTGGTAACAATGTTATGTGATCTGGACTGTCTTACCTTTTTTAATTGACAGGGAATGTTTAAGGAGCTGTAGTAGGTGAATTCCTTCTTTCTTTCCATTAATAAAGATTTGACTGAAACAATCATTTGTACTCCTAGGTAAATTTGAATGACTGATTGGTTCTGCAGTTAACCTCTCATAAGAATATATCTCCAACCCCCCAACTTGTAGAAGCCAACTGCTATATGATAATTCACTCCTCCAGTAAATTTCTCTTTATGTTTCTCACAATCTGAGTTGACTTCCACATTCTTGAAAAAAAAATTTTTTAATGTTATTGATAAAAACTTAAAAGTAAGCAAACAGGTAAATAAAAAAAAAAAAAATAGGAGAGGGAGAGCAGACAAAACTAGCAACCAGCAACAACACAAAAAGACCCCAATTCTCAGCAGTGTGCTGTGTCATACCAGGGTCAAATAAGAGATGCTCATTAAATCCTCACATCCTTCTGCCACCCAAAGAGTCATTATCTCCTCCCTTGGGAAAAGGGCTTTGAGTCACACTCAAACAAAAGTATGAAAGCTTTCAGGAAGTCAAGAGAATTGTGCTCTCTGTAAGCATTCTGCTAGGAAAATCCCAGTTAAAGATCTTAGATTTTTTGCACCATGAGAAACACAATTAATCAAACCTAAAGGGTAGGGGGATTTGTCTGGATAAATCAAAAATGCAGAAAAATGCATGTTTTTTTCATACAAAAAAGTTCTATCTATGTTGGCAAAATAGGGGGTAGAGGAGGGTGGGTGGAATACACTATTGAGAAGAAAAGGAAGGCTGCTTTGGGTCTGATTTATTCAGGTTGACTGTCCAAATCAATTCCCCTCACAAATAATTGCTCAGCTGTGCATTTCATTTTGTCTGGGAAGACACAGCCATGAAGAACAACTTAAGTGGGTCACTTTTTCTTGGATCCTTTAAGAAAATGCTTTCAATTAGAAAATGCCAAAAACTGTTTTGCACATATGTAGCAATATCCATGGTAGTTCAGTATAAATTTACATCTGAAAAAAAGCATCTCATTCTTTTTTGATTTGCCATATCCACTTTCCTCTATACATAAAATGTCCTTGGGGTAGAATGAGGTATGCCAATTGAAAATGACCCATCTAAAATGTTATATGTTGTTCAAGGAATTATAGCCCAATTTGATACCTTTCAGTTAATTTATTCATATATATGTGTCCTGTGGATTCAGTGTCCCAAAGATAATTCTAGTGTAAGTTGACCACTCCAACTTTGCAAGTTAGAGGCCAAGAGAAAACAGGCTCTTGCTGTAGATAAAATAATGTGCTTAAATTTCAGAGATGCACATAGTTTCTACCAAAACAATACACTAAGCACTTATTCCAAATGCACTTTTACTTACTGGGTGCTCCTGTTGCTTCTGCACAGCCCCAGGGCTGGTTGGTACCCATGGATCTTGCAGGTGGAAAACCAAGCCGCAGTTACAGGTTGAGAAATACATCTGAGGAGAACAAAGCTGTCAGTTAACTGCCAGTTGGGGAGACTGGGGAGTTGCACTGACATTTCTTTATACAAAAAGCTTGGTTTCAATCTTAAGGGTCACCCTAATCTGGCATAATTATAACTAAAAGGAGTAAACATGTAAACAGGTTGAAAGGCCTTGGTGGTGCCCAAGCACTGTCTAGACTCAGGACTGGTGCAGATGAGGCTCACCAAGGTCAAGTTTTATCCAAGGTGAAATTATAATCATTTCTCCATTTTGAAGAAATTGGACACACTTGAAAAGTATATAGAGTTAACTTTATGTTTTTAAGTTATCTTTACTGAGGGTCCTCAATGAAGATAGTCTATCCATTGAGTCATAAAATAGATTTTCTTAAATTGAAGCCAGAGAAAACTAAAGCCCAGAAAGAAAATTGGGAATTAAGACAAATAATATTCATTCTTTAAGGCTACTAGAGAACCCATGGGATAGAATGCTTCAGTGCTCCAGGAGACATGTTATTTTTTCAAAAGAGGCAGTATTTGATTTAGTTTTCTGCTGTTAATTATGTGAGCCATTGCATGAAATAACAACAAAATATATTTCCCAGGTGGGTCTAAGGAGCACAAAGTTTTGTGCTACTGGTAACATGTTCTATAAAGCATATGGTTTTTATGAGTGTTAGGGTTCAAAGGCCTTGGTGGTGCCTAAGCATGACTATCCATTGATGGTTTCGCCAGTAATGAAAAGCATGGGTTGTTGCAGGCCACCTGTAGCAGAGCTTGAATATGTCTTGAATCGGGACAAAGAGAAATGCTGTACATGGGAATGAATGCATGGGTGAAAACTGGCTCAACATACCTGTCTTAATCGCTTTTCTAGTTTTTCTTTCTCCATCTGACAAGCTTTTATCTAAAGACAAAACGAAGGCATTTGTTAATCAAGACAAGTTCAAATCATTATTTCCATAGCCGCTCTTGCCCTATTCAAGTGTGAGGCATTGACAGCAGCAATAGCAACAAAAACAATCACAGCTTAGTTTTTCCAGATATGCACTGATTCTATCTTAAAATTCTGAAAGGAAGTTTGGAAAATTTGATAGTTTTAAATTGTTATTCCAGTGTTTTGAGGCCATTACAATTCTGTTTTAGGTAGATCTATTTAGATATAGATATAGAAACAATTTTCATTGCTTACTGAATGACACTGGAATTGTCAACCTGACATTCAAAGGCTGCACAATAAATTTTAGAACATATATGTACTTAATCCATGTCAGGAACTGATCTAAATCCTTTGCATACAATAACTCACTGAATCCTCCCAATCCCTCTATGTGATACTTAATATTATCTCAATTTTATAGGTGAGAACACTAAGACATAAGATGGTGAGTAACTTGCTCAAAGTCACACTGCTATATTCTACGGATTCTCACTACTTAAGCCCCAGCCTCATACGTACCCTGGGTTTCCTTAACATAAGACACACTTAGAGAAAGCTGGGTTTTCTTTAGCTATTTAATCACATCATTGTCATTCCCATTCCCATACCCCATGGCCCACCTTCCCATAAGGCATGGTCAAATATTCCCTCCTGAATGACACTTTTCCAAGTCCCACTCATCAGAATTATTCTGTCCTCTCATATAGTGTTGTACATTTACTGTGTGAGTTTTTAGACGTGCACTATTTACAGGCAATTCTTGCTACTTGTGGTAGTCATATTCCATAAAGTTGCCACAGACACTGAATTAGTGAATATTGGACCACTGCTACTAGGAGAAATGTAGGGTTAAGCGACTGCTGGCCTCTTGTCACAACATTTGTGTCAATGGAGAAATACATACCTTGTTTCACGTGTGTTTCCAATTAAAAACAACTTATTTAATATGTATTGTTGATTTATTAACACTGAACTCATGGTCAAGAGTACTATAACACGCCTTAATGAAGCTTCTCTAACACATATTTTCTCTGTAAAGCACATCACAGCCTTCTCGTGCTTAGGAATACTAGAGAACATGTCGTCATATACGTGAGGGCCATTCTAAACCATGAAATCACTAAAGAAAAGCACAAAAATGCAGCAAACATGGCACGAAATAGACCACAAAAAGGACACGATGAATGTGTGTATATGAGGTAACAGCTTCGCTGCTCTGCTCATATATAAGGATATACCACAGAGCACCACAAGTATTGATTGGGGTTGACAAATGAATTTTAGTGAGTAGGGAAATTCACATATGCAGAATTTGCAAGTGATGAGGATAGACAGTACATGTATCTTTTACTATATTGTGAGTTCTTTAATAGCAAGAACAGTTTTCATTTTCTCACAGCATATAGCAGAATGCCTTGCAAAAAGAAAGCATCAAAATTAGATTACAAAGAACTGAAAGTAGCATGCTAATTATACAACTAAATGAAACTATTAAACATGCCCCCTCTTCCAACAGACTAAAATAATTTATAAAATACCTCTGAGCCATGACTTGACTTGAGCTAAATGTTTTTTAAAAGGTTTTCTGTTTTTTCTTTTCTTTTCTTTTGAGACAGAATCCTGCTCTGTCACCCACGCTGGAGTGCAGTAGCCCAGTCTTGACTCACTACAACCTCCTCCTGCCAGGTTCAAGTGATTCTCTTGCCTCAGCCTCCTGAGTAGCTGAGATTACAGGTGCCTGCAACCATGCCAGACTAATTTTTTTATTTTTAGTAGAGACAAGTTTTCACCATGCTGGCCAGGCTGGTCTTGACTCTTGACCTCAGGTGATCCGCCTGCCTCGGCCTCCCAAAATGCTGGGATTACAAATGTGAGCCACCATGCCTGGCCTTCTTTTTTCTTTTTTTCACTTAACATTGAGAAAAACTTTGTGAAGTCATAAGGTAAATTTCATTATCTATATTTTACAGGCAGGTATACTAAAAGAGATTAGATAACTTATTGAGAGAGAGAGGTTTTAGAGTAGTAAGAAACATTTTAGAGATCATTTAGTTCAACTTTGTCATTTTACAGACGAAGAAAGGGAAGCATAGAAAAGTTAAATAAGTTGTTCAGGGTTACCACCGATGGGGTATTAGAGCAGACAGCAACACCAAGTCTTTTTCCCCTAAATTCCTCCTATTTCTAAGTACCCTAAGTATCTTTCACTTTACCACATTACTTATTTTACCATTGTCACTGGCTTAACACATCCTCAGTGACAGAATGAATACATTCTGGTAAGAAAGCAACTCATGACAGAATGATTTAACCTAAAAATTTCTCTAAAAGTCCACTTGAACAACAAATAATATATTCAACTAAGGTAATGTGAGTTCTTTTTTAAATATCATAGCATTTAATCTGCTGTTAGTACATTTAATATAGATCATCAAGCCATCTACTACATCTCTGAGTGAATTCTATCATTCTCCTACTGAATAAATGAGACTTTAGAGAAAATGATTGGGCTTTCATTATTTTAAAGAAAAAATTTCATAGTTTTAAGCTGTCAGTTTAGATATCATTAAGATTATCCTTTAGGCTCTAGGCACAATTACACCATACTATATTTAAAAAATGCATTTATTTTGTTGATACCAATCAACTTTACAGGTGACACAAGAAAGAACTTGTAGATCATAGTATATAACATTAAATAGAAAGATATATGTTCCTGATCAGACTAAAATTTCTGCAAAGGCAAGGACATTGCTAATCTATTACCAATCTTAATATAGTAGAATAAATAAAATTATTTAGTTATATATAATTTATCATATATAAAATAATTTTTTATTTTTAAAAAATTGTTTTAAAATTAAAATTGTTTTACTTGCTGTTTTGCTGGCAGCAAGTAAAACAATTTGTACAGTGACAACTTAAAAAACTAGGGTAGCTGGGCATATAACAAATAAAATGAAAAGAAATTTTTTTTTTTAACCAAGATTAATCAGAATATTGTCTTACCTATTGTACGAATTTTTTGTTAAGTTGCCTGAATTACTTTCATAAAATTATTTGATTTGCTTGCTACTATTTTGTTTTTTCTAGTTTCTTACAGAGAAAATGGTTCTACAAAATATTTTTTTCATATAAAATTAGCAATTTCAAGTTAATCTTTAAAAATCAGAGATAAAATAAAATTTAATACGATCCACTATGTTTTTGGAAGAAAATGATGAATAACTGTTTAAAATTTTTTTCTATGACTAAGTATCTTGAAGCTAAGAGCTGCCACAGCGTTCCCATAACAATTTCCTATTTATTTAAAAGCATTGCCCAGGTGCAGTGGCTCACGCCTGTACTCTTAGCACATTGGGAGGCAGAGGTGGGTGGATCACGAGGTTAGGAGTTCGAGACCAGCCTGGTCTATATGGTGAAATCATGTTTCTACTAAAAATACAAAAATTAGCTGGGTATGGTGGCATGTGCCTGTAGTCCCAGCTGCTCGGGAGGCTAAGTCAGGAGAATCGATTGAACCCAGGAGGCAGGGGTTGCAATGAACCAAGATCGCACTACTGCACTCCAGCCTGGGAGACAGAGCACGATTCTCTCTCTTTAGCAAAAAAAAAAAAATAAGCAATGCGGTATTTTATAAGATCAATAAATGTTGCAGTTTGTTTTGTTTTTTAAGGCAAAATTATGTGAGCTACATTTTCCTTCATTAACATCACTATTTGCCCATTGTGGCAACTTCCTGAGTCTACTTTAACATATTCAATTACATTTAGTATGCTTACATTTAACATATTCTATTTTAATAAACTGGTGACCATTATCTGGCTTCCTTGAAAGTACTCCAGTTACATTACATCTGGGAACCACTCAAAAAAATCCTCTGTCTCACATGTAAGTGACATTTAGAAATCTGTATGTTTTTGGCAGACAGGAACATTCCAACATAGCCCTTCAAAGAAAATGACAAGAATTTTTAAAACTACTGCACTTTATTTGAGTACGAGGTAGTTCAAATCCCATGCTAACAAGATAAATATTACGAGAAAAAGATCAAAAGGATTGTATTTTATAAAAGACTTTGGAATCCAATTTCTTGGGTAATTCCTTAATATACTTAAGTCAAAAGAAATTTCCAGTCATTTTCATCTCTTTACAAGATTGTTTAAAAATGACTTCATCCCAGGTGCTGACCTTTCAAAAAAATTCAATGTCAATTAACAGGAGTCAAAAAGTCTTGAATTTTTTAAATAAAAAAAAAATTACAACATGCTGGCAAAGATGATTTTGTTTTGACTTGTACCTGGGAATTCAGCCTGTTCAGCTGGGATTGGGAAGTTTCATTAATTTGCTGGAGCTCCTCTTTCTCTTGATTAAGTCTCTCTCGATCTGATCGTTCCTTTTTGAAGTCTTCTTCGTATATTTGCACCTAAGAAAAATTAACTTGCTGTTACTGTTAGCTTCCTTTTCTCTTAAGCCATCTAAATGACTTCAGAAAAGGTGCTTTATGGACCTTTCCAAAAATTTGAGGCATTCCTACCCTCTATTCACGAATATATCTTTCACGATGGGTTGGAGAAATGTATGTGACTGTAATTCTATCTTTCACTTTGTTTATAGCGGCAGTTCTCAACTCTTTCCTCCTTGAGCCTGTATCAGGAATTCAGCAGTAAAGTAACAACATGTGTATTTTGAAAGAATCTCATCACTCATTATTCCTCTGCCTACTCCATTATTGTAAAGAACTCTCCCAACTAGTGTTCAGTGTCACTGTTTTTCAGCAAGCCATCCATCCTGAACACAAAAGCTTTGATGTATGAGTACTACTTGCACATCTAAAAGACAATTTACTGACAATAGCTGTTAGGTGATGCCACAACGTACTGACATACCCAAGTTTCCAGACATACATTATACGTTGAATGCAAAATAGAAATGAAACTCTTATGTATGTGGAAAGCAAAGCATGATTGTTAAAAGGCATTCACAAATTTTACCTTTATAAGTTATTTTGGGTGAATATCATAAATGATAGTAATATTTGAGTGGAACACCTCTTGAGAGGCACTCCAAATATTCCAGAAAAGTGACCAAACTAAAAACAAAACAGGTTTAATTATTGCTTTTGTTTTTAACAGACAGTGTTGACTGATGGCTAGGAGACTGGCATATAAGGCTATGAAAACAAATAAAACTTAGAGAATGAAGCAAAAACATTCCTCTAAGACTGATTTAAATTAATACTTATATTGGAACCTAGTAGTTGGATTTTTATCTATTAAAACTAATACACATTACACTTTCATCACTACCAGTGCAACATATTTTAACTAGAGGTTTATCAATTTTATTGTTCTAAGTCGACAGCAATAGAACAAAGTGTGCAAGGGAAGAAATTAAACATTTTGTATAGACATTACACATATGCAGATATACACATTACATTTTTATGGCTTTATTCACCAGAAACATTAAAAGGAAACTACATCCTGCCACACTGATATTTTGATGATCTTTTTGGTTGAGAACTGACATTCAGTTCCAGAGACAGTTAAACTAATGCTCTGTAAACAATTACCAGAGGCATTTTAAGTGGGAGGAACCCATCTGATTAGAATTAAACACTGGCAGCATCATCACTTTAGTCAGGTAGGGGCCAAGATTCTAACTCAATTTCTTTGTGCATTTAAACCCTTTTAGTGTTTCACGTGGCACTTGGTGATGTAACGATTGTGGGTGCCTGATTACAAAGGTGCACAGTTAAACTATTGATGGAGAAAGTCAGCAAGAGAGACACTACAAAACTACGGAGAAGGATTTTGGTCTTCCCACAGGGATTATGAAAAAGGAATACCTGTCACTGTAACAAATATGAACCAAACCATTACTATAAACTGTGTGTGTAAAAGTGACTCTTGCATGTGGTGTACCTTATATGTGAGTTCCAAAGATGTCTAGTGTTTGAACATAAGCAGTACTTTGTCTTCTGAAGAAATCCTGGCTAGCACCAACAGTACTTTAGTGGCTGAGAATTTGACAGGGTTTTAATAGTGTGCATATTACCCTCGTTCTCTCCATGGGTTTATTTTTCAGCTATGCATTTTACCCTGAATGTAATGAAGCAGATTACTCAAGTAAAATTGACAGAAGAGGAAGTCCAACTTCACGATCAAATGCTATAAAATTTTTAGATCTATTCACAGCATACTTCATATGAAATATTAACAATAAACAACAATAACACAATTGCTCAATTTTTCCATGTTGTAATTAGTGCTTGCTCAGAGCAAAACAGTCAGCAAATCATACCCAGGGACATCAGAAAAATAATGCTTTCCAGCCCTTTGTTCTATGACACCCTCTCTCCCAATTCTAATATGTTACTGACAGTGTGTGCCTCAGGGATTGAGATTCCTTTATGTATCCTATATTTATCATTATTGCCACGAACCATTCCAGATTTCTCTCTACATTAGTTTATTTAACCTCTAACATAAAAAGAGACATGATATGCCTGGTTGGCCCTTCAGCTAAGTGAATTCCAGCAGATTGATTAAATTAGACAAAAGTAGTTTAAGCAGTGCTTTATCTCCGAAGCACTATGCTGCCAATAGATGCATGAAGAAGTTGTAAAAAGGGCATCCTTACTCTCGCTGTCTGCTTGGCAATAGTGAGTGAGGTTAGGTGAGTGGAGAGGAAAATGCTGTTGTGCATCAGTGAATTGCTAAGTGATGCCATCCATACACAGGACTAGCTGAGCAGACCTCGCTCTTTGTGATTATAATCAGTTCAAAGTATTCTCTTTAAAACTGCTCTTATTGGCCAGGTGTGGTGGCTCACAACTGTAATCCAAGCACTTTGGGAGGCCAAGATGCATGGGTCACAAGGTCAAGAGACCATCCTGGCCATCCTGACCAGGATGGTGAAACCCTGTCTCTACTAAAAGTACAAAAGTTAGCTGGACAAGGTGGTACACGCCTGTAGTCCCAGCTACTGGGAAGGCTGAGGAAGGAGAATCGCTTGAACCCAGGAGATGAATGGAGGTTGCAGTGAGCCGAGATCGCAACACTGCACTCCAGCCTGGTGACAGCGCAAGACTCCATCTCAAAAATAAATAAAAATAAACAAGAACAGAAACAAAAAAACTACTCTTATTGTACAAAGGCCCAGAGGCTTTTCACCACTCAGTTGCTACCATTTTCTGAAAAGGTCCAGAGTTGGTATTAATAGCATTCTTAAAATAAATCATGTCTACATGAAACTATCTAGCCCCAGTGCTAATAGAACCTCACCCAAAGGTTAATTGGTATGCCTCTCTTTTAACTGTGTGAACGTGCGTAAGCCATTTAATTCATCTGAAAATCAGTTCTCTTCGTTCTAAAAAGTGGGACGAAACTAGCTGATCTATATTCTTTCTATCAAGCTTGAAAATTAGATAATTCTAATTAAAATAAGTGCAGAAACCTTTGACATATTTCTAGCAGCAAGACATCTAAAAATGCCCAAAGAAGCATAAACAATGGGCAGTATGCTCTCCACAGGACCATGACACTTCCAGCTGCTCACCTGCTGCTTCAGAACTTCCATTTCTGTTATCATCTCCTCATGGCAGAATTCCACCTGAGACTTCCTCAAACAGTCCTTGGAAAATGAACACTTGATATTCAAGGCATCCTGAAGAGCCTATGTTATAAGATAAGTACACTGTTGATATAAGCTTTACCACATGAAATGAATTCTTTTGTAATTGTTGCAATCATCTCAAATGCACCCACAAAGAAGCATTTCATGTTTAATGCTGTTTGCATAACCGAGTAACTTTCTTTTTTCTGATTTTCTCATATATATATTTTTTCTGGTATCTCTGTCTTTTCTCCATGATGATGCTTATGTTATTCAATCCTCGTTATTATTTAGGCTTTTATGTTGGACTCTCTTTCACACAACCAACTGTGAAAACAAAATTCATATCTATAGACTTTCTCCAGATTATCTGCTTCAATCAGATATATACCCTATCAATGATCATCAGGCATTAGGGAGCTTCAGAGGTAGCAAACATGCCCATCCCTTGGAACTGATCCCCAGAGATTATGAATCAGTAGGATGGAGGGTATGGTTTGAGAATTTGCATTTCTCAGAAGCTGGTGCTGCTGGTCCCATGTGATGTTTTGAGTTATATTTTGCTATACGACGATGGCATAACCCCAACAGGAGAGAGGGACATCCACAGAAATGAGAGTCCATGCAGATTCACTATCTGTTAGCTCTGTTGTGCTGCTCTTCTGCCCTGGCCTAGCCACAGTCCTATTTGTTTTCTGTTAAAACGTTCATTAACTCACTACTGAGTGAAGAGAGTGCCCCACTTTCCTGACATCCAGTATAAGTTCATGGTTTTAGCATGGCATGAGGAGAGAAAAGAAAGAAGTAATACCTATATTCACCAGAAAGATTATCATCCTCTGTCATTACCTCATGATGGTCATATCACGACATTATGTTTGGTAATGTACGAAAGACATTGCCTCAATTTTGAAGACCTTTCGTTCATGATGAGTTCAATAAAAATGACTTCCAAATATTGTGACAGAACACTTCTCACCTTGGTGTGGCCTCAGCCACCACAATATGACTACTTGCTCATTATCAAGAGTCCTCTGTACAAATAGAAAAGGTTCATTTTCAGAGATCTAAGAAGAATTTACTTCTGTATTTTTTTAGTAACTTCAACAGTGTCCATTTGATGATACTAATGGTAACTTACTGCACTGCATTACTAATATGGTCATAAAGGTAGATAAAGAAAGGCAAATGTGTGGTTTTGAGTACATGGACAGACTGGGAATTTCCTAATAGAATGTCTTCGAATTATACACATACTGTTTATCCTGTTAGAAATATCTTTTTTTTTTTTCAGGAAGTTGTAAGAAGGAAGAATTTAAAGAAATAACAAAAGTAGTTTAATAATTTATGGTTTGTTAGAATTTGTGTTAATCTCTAGGAAGTGTCAGAATAGTTCAATTTTTTTTTTCAATTTGTGAATAGTAGTAGAGAGAATCTAGGGTGGGGTGAGCCAAATGGATTATGGCAATTGAATATGCTGGTTCCTTATCCTACACCTAGGGATAGACTACTTTTGTAGATCTTGTTATTTGAATTTTCTAATCTACTTTTCATACTATTCAGGATCCTAGACATTTTGGAAATGAGTCATAAATGAAAGATGAGTCTAATAGACATTTATTCCATTTTGGGGTTTCCTGTAAAACACGTATAACCTATAACCTATAAAACACCTATAACCTATTCTAGAATATTTACGATTAGTACAGATATACTAAACAGATCTACCGAGATGTCAGACAAATCAATTTTGCCCACGGGTGGCACAGGCTGAATAGCCTTAGGCAATTGTTTTCACTCTGGTTAAACATCTGGCTTCCCTTCAGGAGCCTGATAAAAACAAAACCCCTAGGTATTTTCTTCAAAGCAAATAAATTGAATTGAGTACACATAATTGTGTGAACTTCTGAAAACAGTGTGTTAATTACTAAGCTGACATATTACAAAGTTTTGCTGAGTAAATGGGACAGCAGGCATTCAACTTGTAGATAGAGGGTAGGCCCTGGATTCCATGCTGGGATGGATGGTGTGCACAATTATCCACCAATATCAACATTTTGAGTAACTTCTATTTATCACAATGGTCAGAAGGAAAAGAAAAATATTCATTGTAGCATAGAAGAAGAATAATATCTTACATTTTATTAGGTGCCAATACCCATGTTAAATAAGACAAATATCTACTTTCATAATTCATCACTTTATACTTTTAAGGGACAGCTTAAGGTATATATATGGATGAAATCTTTTCTGGCTTTAAGCATCATTTTGTTTTTTTTCCTCATTACCCACAAGTAATGTATTATGCCTGTTAAAGCATGAATCCTGGTCCAGAATTGGCTACCAAACATATTATACACTAGCTAATTAAATTCATCAATTCATCCATTCACTCATTCAGTGAATATTTAAGAACTTACTCTGAGCAAGGTCCTATTCTAGGTACTTAAGGTACAGCAGTGAACAAAACAGAAAAAACTCAGTATGACATTGCCTGAGTCCCTCACTCTCTAAAACTACACGTTAAAATGATATTTTACAAATGTACTGTTATAAAAATGGATGCATAAAATATGAAAATGTGTTTCAACCCAAAAGTTTATTTTTTCTTCTAAGTTTAAGGGAAATTAAACATAAACACACATATGAGCCCCAAAGAGTCCTATAGGCCTGGACACTGTGCCTCTCATGCCTAATGGGGGAGTTGGCATGAAAATCCCACCCTCATGGAGCTTACAACCAAGATTAGTAGCTAGAAAACAAATAAGGTCATAAAAGTTAGACATTAAATATATATTTGATAATAATAAATTCCAAGGAAAAGTTAAAGCAGGAAACACCAGTTTTATAGTATATAATTTTAATTAGGATAGCCAGAAAAGTTGTCTTTGAGAGGTGACATTTGTATCAAGATCTGATTTTACTCAAATGATTTTTTCTCATTGAGATTTTATAATTATAAAATTACAAAATTTAAAAATATAAATTTTTATATAGAATTATTAAATTATATAATCTCCAGAATTATGAAAAAATTATATTTTTCTAACTTTAAATAATTTTCTGTGAACTATAAATACAGATACACAAACATGAAGAGTGCACATTGTTATGAGCAAAAATACAGAGTTTTGGCTGTTCTAACATCTACAAGGTTTATATCTTTGTGTCTACATTTAGGGAAATGAACTCGATAACGTAAGAAAACTTGCAATATGGCATCAATAATGGGAGGGATTTTAAATATATTCTCAGTTATTCATAGTTCCTCTAATGCATTTGTGCAACATTTTCTGGCAGAGAAAAAAAGGGAAACAATAGATTTTGCCCTGCATTTGTATGTCTGAGCATGGTTTTTCTCTTCAGAGGATAAAGCATATTGTTTGTGAAGTTTATCCTCACCTTCCCATTTTCTCCTGAAGAATAACTTGTCCTACAAACAGATCTACTACAGAATCACATTTGCAAAGCATTCTATCAAATGTGCAGGCACATACTTAATACTTTGAGACTCTTTAAATGACATCTCTGAACACCAGTTAACTCCAACCACAAGCATGTGGTCCAAAATACAAGAGTTGAGCACCTATTTCAAGTCCAATCACCTACTCTTGTTTCAGAAGACAATTTCTGTTGCTTTTAGTTGAGAAATGCATATCTCAACTCAACCATGTTCCACATAACGGTTGGCTCTTGGAAAAGTCAACAGTATAGGCTTATTTTTCCTGAAATAGTTAGTGACCCCTTCCTCCAGAATATGAAGCAACTAGTCCATAAAACCACACACACACACACACACACACACACACACACACACACACACACAC